TAAGCACATGGGCAAGAAAATTCTCGCAGTTCTACTTCTGGAAAAAATCCTGGAAATATGGATATAACACAAAAAAAAATACAAGAAAAAAAAGTTCATTGAGCAAATACTGGTTTGATTAGCGGAAGCATTTGCGCTTCCGCAGCACCTCGATTAAACCTAGCAAAATCGGCACGACAAAGCACACTGTTGTCGCATATAAATAGAGGACGTACGACACACATCCGGGCTGCTCCGAATCCAGACCATACACCACGGCGAGATATCGCGGCATGATTCTGCAGTTTTGAAAAATTCTCGAACTTAACTTAAAATCAAGACTTTTTATGGAATTTTTTCATGGGAGTTACCGACTTATAAATGTTAAATATACTTCACATTCTTCCCGTTGCAAGTCAAGAGATATCAAGGATTTGATTTCAAAGTACTTTCGAGTGTCTTTGCCTCTCAGAGACTGACTTGGATACGGTAGCGCTACAAGTATCACGGCCGAAGTAGCTAACACTGTACAATTCACTCAGGAAACACTGGAGATCCAGCCCGGCGATAAGTAGCAGATTGAGGGTTCGATTTCGTTGATGGGGCAATTTATTCCGCTACGTCCATTTCGTACCAATGATAAAGCTTAGCTTTGTGCCAGTCATTCTTTATTTTTTTTGGACAAGTATCATACAGACAGGTGCGTTTTACTGCGACAGAACTCAAACGTATTTCTGCGACCTGCTCGTTTCTTTCGTGACGTAAGTCTAAAATGGAAAAACGTACGATTTCGAAGCCGCTGAAAAGCGCGTCGAGCATTTTCTTGTTTACGCCTCAACTTCTCAAGAAATCGATAGTGATCGATACGAAATGCGTCCCTAGAAGGCGTCGTGGAGGATGAAGTTGAAGTAGTTGCGACCGTCGTCGTGTCATACGGATGATCAGTCCGGAATTCAGGTGTCGAATAGAGAAACACATCTCGTGTTCCTTGCTTTTCAGACGAATCGCTACCTGTATTCAATCCCATTGTTACACCTGGTGCCACTGACCCTAAAAAATTAGCTACTACAATATTTTTACAAATTTAACCTTTTCATTAATATTAAAACCCAGGCTGGAACGCACCAAGCTCGCTGGTGCGATCGTGCGTTTTTGCACTAAGCTCATTAATAGCAGGAATAATCCGTGCACTGCAGTCAAACACTCGGACTCATGTTGGCCATGCGCTGGTTTCCTCCGGCATGCAGCAGAATGGGCAACTGTTGGGATGAGGATGTTACGTTATAGAGCCGCATGGACCTACAGTTTTTTGCATGAAGCTCGGTCGTTTTTTCGGTAAATGTTAGCTCTCTGAAAAAATGAAATGCAAATTTTTTGAAAAAATGCAAATTTCCAGTTCACTACAAAAGTGGAAGTACCACCCGAGCGTCATTTGTGGAAAAATCTCAGTATGCAAATGAACTAATGTTCATTTACATATTTGGATGAGAGTGGTTGTTCGCCGCAAAACGCACTCGTTTTTGATTTGTCGGTAAAGTTGAGTATTTCTCACGCCTACCTGGAAGGAATTCCACCTCCAAGCAGAATTAAGACAGCAGTTGAAAGTAGAATATCCAGCGAATTTTCAGTCCCGCAGCTTATCCGTCAAGCGAAATATCCACTTCGCTACAAATATCTTTGAAGTGCCTTAATTTATGGCGCAATTGTAAATCGGTGCTCACTTTAGGTGTACTATTTCTTATATGGGCGACAAATATCCTGACAAAATTTCAGCCACTTTTTTCCAGCAAGTTTTCGAGTAGCACAATACCAAACTGCAAACTGAACTGCACAAACGTGCGCGGGAGCTGAATTTGAAGTCTTTAGCTCGCACATGCACAGAGAATATTCCTGCAAAGTTTTAGCTTTGTATCTTGTCTGGTTCGCGAAATCGTTTCCCGCCAAAGAAATTTGCATATTTTTTTGGAGAGTTCGTACGCGGAGTTTAGGCGCGTTTGAGAAAAGATCTCAAAACGAGAGGTTACACATGGGTAGGAACATATACCCAAAGTTTCACCCTCCCAGCTTTCCTGATTATTGGGATGAAAGTGGGTGACA